AGTTCCTCCCGGCCGCCCAAGTCAATTCCAAGCCGCCCGAGATCGTCCCGGCCAGAGTTTTCCATGCCGCCCGAGTTCTTCCCGGCCGCCCAAGTCCTTCCACGCCGCCCGAGTCCTCCCAGCTTTGCGGCCGGGTCCTCCCAGCCGCAGTCGAACAGGCCGCGTCCAAGCTGGGCCCAAGCTGGAAACGGGCCCAGGCCGAAGAGGAGCCAAGACGGGTCCGGGCGGGCCTAAAACGGGCCGGGTGGGCTAAAACGGGTCCGAGCGGGGGGTTCGCCCACCCGCTCATCGCCGCAGCCCCCCCGAGGCACCCCCAAAACACCCCCATACCCACTTGCCGGGTCCGTAAACTACGGAGCGAGCCGTAGTCGGTCCGCCATCTTGGACATGCGCAGGTTACTAAGCAACAGACCTGTTCTGTTTTTCTTTAGCCCAGGTAAGACGCTTCTGATTTGGGGTTTTCATGAGCTTTAAGCCATAATCATCTTACTAATGACACATCACGGCTTGAACTATCTTGCTTTGCATGTAATGATGCAAATGTCGTATTCCTCTTGTCAAGCCGCTCCTGAACAACAAACAACATCAGAATTGGCTTTTCTCAGTTTACTATCTTTCTATCTATCTTTCTTCCAGTCCAAGCCAGGAATAAACAAAACGGAGACTACTTTAGAAAAGGTTGTAGTTTTTTGAAGAGCAGAGCCAAACAGAAGCATGGTTCTGGGAAAGCTGACCACATGTTGCTGGGAGTGACGGGTTAATTCTATTATGTCCTAAAGGTCATGTCTTTTAGAGTTTGGGTGGGGTATGTAGATTTTAGGGGTCTTTGTCTTTCCAATTTCATCAGCTTCTAGCTTCCTGGCTCTAACCTTTCTGAATAGGATTATCACATCTGCATTTCTACAGACCTGATTTCTGCTTGGGGGTGCTGGTTTCTGCCTAAGATTTTCTATTATTCCTTTGGGGAAATATATTCTACTTTTTTAATATTCCCCAAATCCAATATCTCAGGGACTGCCACAAAGAAGAGGGAGTCAAGCTATTCTCCAAAGCGCCTGAAGGCAGGACAAGAAGCAACGGATGGAAACTAATCAAGGAGAGCAGCAACCTAGAACTAAGGAGAAACTTCCTTTGTCCAAAATGGTGTAGGATTTCCTGCCTGAGCAGGGGGTTGGACTCGATGACCTCCAAGGTCCCTTCCAACTTTATTATTATTATCAGTGGAAGATATTTATTTCTCTGGGGGGGTGCTGTCCTCCTACATGCCCAAGGCATCATAGTTTCCAAGAGATTCTTCTAATGCAGAGGTCCCCAACCTTTTGGGCACTAGGGACCGGTTCCATGGAGAGAGGTTTTTCGAATGACCAAAGACTCACATATATATATTTCTGATTGCTCAAAAACCCCACATAACTAATAGTTTATAACAGGTGTTGAAAAAATGTCAAGCCATTTTTCTCCTTGAAAGTCCTGAAGACCAGAATATGGAATGGGGAAATCCCTGCAAATGGGGAAATAGATTAAAACTGCCATAAGCTTCATCATTAAAAACAAATAGAGAGAAAGACCAAAGTGTTAAATAATTACATAAATGAACAAGGTTCAGCAGTCAAACACTGTTGATGTTATAGGATCAGAGAAATCTAGAACTGCATGTCAATATGCTCTTAATTAGTTCAGTCCTTGGTTTCACTTGCTTTACCAAAGGTCATCTGAATTCTGCATGTTGACTCTCAAAAGGAGGCATCTAAAGAAAGATGAGAGAGAGAGAACAGGCTAAGAAGCTGAGCCATCTCAGCTAGTTAAACTCTGCTAGTTATACTGAGATCTATGTTGCCTCTCTTTCCACAGTGATGTAACTTTTCTGGTTGGCAAAGAGAAGCAGAAAGTCTTTGCCCATCGTTGTCTACTCTCCACCCGCTGCCAAGTTCTCCATGCAATGCTAAGCCAGCCCCATGAGACACAAGTCCCGCTGATGTTGAATCACATACAGCCAGAAGTGTTCCTTACAGTCATTGAGTATCTGTACACCAATGGTGTCACTCTCAACAATCTTACGGTAAGTATAACTTATACTACTGGCTGGGTTGGGCTGCCACAGAAATGGATGGAGGAATAATTAAAATTAGTCAGCGGTATTTTTAATTAGTTTGTAAGATGAAATAGATGAATTTTGAAATTCTGTAAGCTTTTTAGTGACACATAAAAGCATTTGTTTTTTTCTCTCTTTTCCTGATTTTGATTGATTCTGCGAATTGGAAATCTGTTCATATTATGTAGTCTTTTCTAACTATGAATTTGCTGTTTTTTATTTTCTTTTTAAATATTTTTTACCAAGAACCACCTTTAGATATTTCCAGTAGGACAGTGAAGTGTGCATTAGACACATGATAATGAAAAATTAATGTGAAGATGATAATTTGGGCCATGGTGAATTAGTGGCCTGGAAAAAATCAGTTAGATATCCTGGTGGGTGAATGATCAATAGACTCTTTTAATCCACAGAACTGACACTAAGATTCTAGATGTGTCCAAATAGCACTTGTAATGTGCAACATGTATGATTCATTACCGTTGAGATGTGTTTGAATATTAGTAGTTCGGGTTGGTAGTTGGGCTGTTGATTTGACTTCCGAACTTGGCGATTTGGCTGCAATCGTTTTGTCTCCATTCGGGGGGGACATCTTCAGTCTGCTTTGAATTGTGCTCGATAAAGCTCATTACCATATTTTCTTTGAACATGCAGAGTATATTCTTATTTTATTCATCAGCCAAGTTTTATATCTCTTATTTTTTTTCTCCTAAAGGAAATTATGCACTTATACTCCCCTGATTTGCCATTTTACATATCTGCGTGCTCAGCGTTTTTCTATTTGGTTTTATGCTTGCTTTTATTTCTACATGGTTATATTTTTCAGCTCTAGACTTTCAAAATACAAATTTATCACCTCACAACTACTTATCTTTTCTTATTGGCTGTTTCTCCCCAAAAAGGAAAATTCTGTCACGTATATGGCAACTATCACAATCTGTCCACAATTTGTATTTTTAAAAATTTGTATGCAAGTGTGATTAAAAAAAAAAGCAGGAACACACTGTGCACAATCTGTGCTGCAATTCCACCGACAACAACAAACCCTCCCCCCAATGACGTAATGTGAATGAAGGCTCAGTTCTGGATGCAGCCTTTGTGGTACTGATATGTGAAAGATAGGAGCATTACTGTTTGCATTGAATTTCATCCATATTCATATTAACAATTCTTAATATTTGAAGCAAATCTTTTCCATGGAGTCTTGAACTGCAGAACCTTGAGTTCTAAAATCCTATCACCCCTGCAGTATAGAGAAGCTGGTTGAAGATGCGAAGGAAGAAGGATGTTTGTGCAGGAATGCTAGCTTAAGCAACTACTCTGAAGAGCTTCCAGATAATAAGTCTTGTTGCTTAGTTTTTTTTTGCTAATTTAACATTGTTGGCAGCCACCCTAAAATCATTGGCACAGTTCTGATATAAGAAAGCAATAAAATGATTTTTGAATAATGGGTTTCAAAACTACACTCAGTATGTAAGGCTATCTTTTCCTTTACTAGCATGGAGGGAAAGTCTCTTGGATACAGAGAATTAGACATTGTGTTCCCAGTCAATCTGAAATTCCCTATTAAGGTGGCACTTTTTTATTAGCGTTTAGTCTCTTCATTTGTACTGTGTAATTGCAGAAATACAGCAACTTTATCTTTCCCACTATCAGCTGTGTCATCTATGAAGTCCACTTGTATGAAGGACTTTTCTGCAATAGAAGATCCTATTTGGATGAAGATGACCATCCATATGGAATTGATGTTGGGTTTGGGGGCAGATATTGCCTTTATCATATTGTTTGTACATATGTGTGGAGCATATGTCATCTTATTAATTATCCTGGATCTCTCTTTCTGCTTTTGTTAGTAGTGATTAGTTTCACTTATTGGAGACAAAAAGGTACATTTTCCCACATATGTGGTAGAAGTACTATCAAGATGACTATTTCAGTGTATACCAAGTACCCTTATAGAGTTTTTTTTAATCTACAATTTGCTTCCCTTGGTTTTTAATATCTACAAGAATCTTCAGAGTGAGTTGTCCAGAATTACGGAATGCAAAGTCATTAGCATGCATTTCTGAAATCATCAAGGCCCTAGAAATTCAAGTATTCTTTCACATATCAGAAAATAGAATGTATCATTAAATCTGCTTCATCTACCATTTTTTCTGTTTACTAGAGGAGCTGAAAGAATATGTAAATTAAAATCTGCAGATGTTATCTTAAAATAAAGACGGGCAATTTGTATCTCATTATATTTTGTTGAGCTACAGCTTCCATCAAGCCCGCATATTAATTGATGAGGAATGATGAAAGTTGCAGGTTTCTTTCCCTTCCTTTAAAAAATGATCATATAGTTAGAAAGAATGCATAGTTGGCAGAGATAGTGTCTCCCAACAATCCTGAAGATATCAGTCTGAATAATTTGTGATTCTATTAACAATATTTCTGAGAAGATCAAAATAAACACTGAAAAGGCTCAAAGCATGATGAAATCACATAAAAACTTTTTATACTGCTGGAAAGTTAGAAAGTAAAAAGTTTAGGTACATTTTTTCATCTTTGACAACATAAAGGATGTGGCTTATTACAAAATATTTGCCTTATTCATTTTATTTGCAGGCCCTTGAGGTTTTGACTTCCTCCATTGAGTATGGGTTGAATGACCTCAGAAAGGTAAGGATCTCGCACTATAGTTTATTAATCGTGATCTAGGATTTTATAATCTATGGAACTATGTGCCATGTAGTTAGTGGTATATATTGCAAGCAGTGGATACTGACTTCTTTGATTCAAAGACTGTAAGGTTTGTAACCTTATACTACTTTAGACACTTTGCTATTCTAGACTGGACTACAGCTCATTTAACCCAAATTCTTGAGATCCCTGCCTATGCAGAACTAATATAATGGTAGGATTTTCTACCATTCCTCGCTATGAAAATCTTGTAAGTACAGTAGTGATATTGGCAGGACAGAACCACATCTTGATTCAGCCCATAATCAAAATGTTCTGTTCTGCTACTTTTTTCCCTCAGTTTTGTCTGTTACCAAGGTGTGCCATCCTCTATCTTCTTCCTGAAAGCCTAAGAAAATATTAAGTAAATTATTATAGTTTTGTAAGTAAATGGCAGAAAGAAAATAATCATAGCAGTTTCTACCAGTAGGAAAGCGAGGTGATTTAATTAAATAAGAGCTTTTTCCCACTTGAACCCAATCTTGACAAAAATCTGTCCTGGGAACATTTTCCCCCCCTCTCCTGATTGAGTTATATCAGCTCAGATTTGGTACTGAGCACTGAATGGAGCAGCCTTAAGTCATCTTTAGCACAATGGATGAGCCCCTTTTTTCTAGCACCTTCCAAGGGCGCTCTCAAATCATTCAAAGACAGGCTTTGTCACTGGTTATCTCAGGGAGGCCAGATGATTGCAGTGACGAAACAGAGGCAATCTAAACTGGACATGGCAGTGGGAATTTCACACTGTTATTATCCTTTTCTGCCAATTAAAGGATAGGGGGATACTCAGCAGTGGGGAAAGGCCTCCTAGTAATAATAATAATAATAATAGTAAAGTTGGAAGGGACCTTGGAGGTCATCTAGTCCAACCCCCTGCTCAGGCAGGAAACCCTATATCGTTTCGGACAAATGGCTGTCCAGTCTCTTCTTAAAAAACTCCTTCCAGCAGAAGCCAAGTAAGATCTGCATATAGAGGAAGATTTTGTTGAAAAATTGTCATAGCTATGGTCTATTAGGCAGAAATGTAAGATTTAATGGTGGAGTTTAAGCTGGGTCTTCATTATAGGTTGATTTTTCATTAATTGGAATTTACATACTATTTGTTAAAACTCACGGTACCTCTGACTTTAATAATTAATTGAAGCTTTATGTATTGACAATATATTGTCACCGATATCAAAGAACCCAAGGAATTGCTGTGGGAACAGCATTAAGGAAATCCTATAATCTAAATTAGAAAAATTAGAAATTCTACTTTGGAAACTGATAATCCTCTGTATATGTGTGTGCGCGTGCGCACACACACACACACACATTAACTGCAGGTGACTTGGAGGGAGCAGCATATATTGGCTCCTTTCAGATTTGCATCAGTTGTATAAAAACAGCAGCAACTGTCACATTATTGATGGCACCACGGAGCTTTTGGCACGGCAGGTGCTATTTAACACAGGAACTGCTGACATTGTAGAACCCTGTTCTGATGACATCATTAACATCTGCCCTATTTAGACAAATCTAATTTGGATAATTCCTATTATGTGAAAGCTTTGTGTCTCCCCATTTGGTTTGCTTCTATTTTGGACAAAATCCATATTCTCCCTCCAAGTATTTAGTTCTAGAGCTTTTTTTCTTTAAACCCTTAGCTACATTTAGCCAGTTTGCTGGCTTTTTTCTTTCCTATGTTTACACAATTCCAATTATAACATTGTGGAATTTTGATTATTTTGTTTGTACAAACTTACTGAGTTATTTGTAGTGATGAAATATAGTCCATATGAGTTAGCCATCTCTTTGATCTTCCACTTCCACCCTATTGTAATTTTTCCTCCTGTTAAACTAGCATTTAATATAAAAGGTATAGACTTTTCTAGGAAATAATCTAAAAGAAGCTCTAGTGCTGGTCTTTTCTCAGACTCTGATCATTCTCCTTCATAATAGTTGTTATAATTTGCTTTGAATATTTTACTGTGTTCTGTGTTTGGTTCTTTTTCATTCAGTAGACCAAATAAAGGTCAGTGGGATATGGTTACAAACATTGAGTGTTCTTATTTCTTATTTTAACCTTCGGAAAAAGATATGGTCTTTTTTTTTTCCTGTATAGGGCAACTTCAGAAGAAAAAAATTACGCTGTATATAATGATACTGGGTGGGTTGTTATTGCACAGCAGAAATGGAAGCTCTTTTTTTTTTTTTTTTGCCAAATCTGGCTGGGTATTCACAAATAGTACCAGTTTTAATTTGTTGTGTTAACTCCCTGGGTGTTATACAGTGGAATAGTGCTTGTTCTCACTTTACCCAGTTGCCTAGCCAGGGAAGACAGTCTTTCTTATATTACTAACCTCATTACGGTTGAGAGCTTTTTCTCATCCGGTGCCAGTCCTATGGAATCAGCTTCCACCAGTTCTATACCTTGTGTTTGATCTGTCAGATTTTTCAAAGGTATTAAAAATGTTTCTTTCTTATGGGCCTTTGTTAACCTGCTTTAGGCATTATTTTTAAGCAGTAAGATGTAATAATCATTTAACATGGTTTTTAATGGTTGTTTTAAATCATATGGACCACTCAATTACTGAAGCTGTTTAATTGTGATTTTAAATTGGATGATACTGAGATTGTGCCTTTTTGATGTTATGTTTAACTGTTTTGTTCTGCTAAGGGAACAAAGTAGATGCATCCGAATAACTAGAGTCATAGATGCATTTTTATGCATCTGTAATCTAGTTACAGATATGTGAAAAATGAAAATACTGTATACTAGTAATACACCTACTATTGAAGAAGGGAAAAAAGAAACTAGTATTAATTCATGCCCTCATTTCAAAAAGTGAGAGAAAATTAATATCCCTTTGGACTAAGCAAACAACTCCAGATAATTATGGCAATATTAAAGTATTTTTCAACTATTGCGGCATATAATCCAAGCTACCTGAAGACATTGGTACTTCATTCCGTTTCCCCTGTCCATTTCTAGGAGATAAGATGGAATTATGCAAATTCTTATGCCGGTGAAAGGAATTAATTCCATTTGCAAGAACTCTGAGGTCAAGACCCAAGTACCCCTTACCCGTTTTTCTCTATGTTTTCTGTTCCGGACATTGGTAGGTAGTATCTAGGATGCTTACAAATATATAAGCTACTAAATTGAACCTGAGAGTGTATGTATTTGATTGATTGTATAGTTATATTACCCATCCTCTTTTCAATAAACAATAACTACCAGACAAGAAGCAAAAACGATTTTGTGAATGTGAATCCATAGGTTTCTGAAGGGCTTGACACTGAATTGCAAAATATACCTTGGAGTTACCCTGCTTGCTCAAATTAGTTACGTCCTGTGTCGGCGTATTGCACTTAGAGATGGCACTATGGAACTCTAAACTGTTAGCTCTCTTTTTATATACATAAATGATATATTTCCCCTTTTTATATTTAAGAAATATTAGAGCAACATATTACGTATGCCTTTTTATATCTTAGAGTTGTAACTAACTCTCTTGGAGATTTCTGGAGAAACATAAAGCATTCTGAGCTTTTTCTATTCCCTTGCATTTTTGTTATTACAAGTAAGAATATACATAGGCTTGAGAAAAATGCCATTTATTTATAAGAATATATACATGTAAGAATGCATCTAAAGATGGTACTTTAACTGGCAGTGCTATTTGTTAGTTGATTTTCTTGCATATATATGTGTGTATATATAGATAGACATAGATAGATAGATAAAAAAAAAAATGTCAAGGTGTTCACAATCAGACCAATCTGTCTGAACTCCCTATAATTACTCCCTTGACTCTGCTGGCAAAGAGGGGAAGAGAACCTGTGGCTCAGTGACTAAATCACTGACTAGTATGTATAACTGCCCAGGTTCGAATCCCATAAAGGGTATGGCTAACTGATGAAGGCAAAAAAGCCAGAAATGGTCCATCTTAGTCTCCCAATTTAATTCTTTACTCTTCGTCAGAAAAAGAAATTTGGATATAAAAATATTTCGCAGTTGTGACTTGAGCCTGCTCTATGCCCCTAGTTGGGGGCGGCAAGGCAAAAGAGATATTGTAAAAAGAGTAAACTGCAGTATGGCAGTTGAAAAAAAAAAAATGTCAAGGTGTTCACAATCAGACCAATCTGTCTGAACTCCCTATAGATAGACATATTTTCTCAAATCTGTAACAGCGTGAGAGTATTCAGAATTTCTCTGTCCTCTGAATAGGAGTAAACATATGTTCCCAGAAATAACACAGCAACACAGACTCACAAAAGGATGGGAAAGCTGGATGAGAGAGCACTAGGTCTTGACTATTAACATGAATTAGTGACTTTTGGAGGGACTTTCTTAGGAAGAGAATAGAAGGAAAATCATGGAAATAAACAAAGGAGAAGTGACAGCTGGCTAGGGGCATAAAGTTATCCATCTGCTTTCCGAAAGCTTGAAAGCCTAGGCACTGTTCACTGGGGAGTTGTCATAATCTATCATTTCCTTGCTGACATGATGATCCAAGAATAGCCTTATGTGACCATCAGGAGTTTCCCAATTGATACAAGTATCTTAGAATGTGGGAGTAGCGGGAAACTACATTTTGATGAGCACATATATTGAACAGAAGGTAGCTCACAAAGGCAAATAAGAAGGAATTAATATCATGACCCTGGCAATTAGGAGGAAGTATTGAGTCTAGAATGTGGGAATTCTTGGAGATTAAATAAAAGAAAAAAAGATTTAGAAAATATGATGGTATGGACTTGAAGATTTTACCCAATATAATATTGTAATGCAAATATTAAAAATTATGAGGGAACAGAAAAAATGGAATAATAGTACCTACAATGAGGAGAGACAAAACTAGAATTAGACCATTGTACAGATTGCAGAAGAAGAGCCATGTTGGTTTGTGGTAGCCAAAAATCCAAAGGAGTCTGGTGCCATCTTTTCAGGCAAA